CGGCGTGGTTGGGGATGGTGCCGACGGAGGAGAAGGAGAGAGAAAGAGGATCGTGGTTGGATGCGAAGGTTCTGAGAAGCGATTCGAGCTTGGAAGGTTCTAGAAAGGGTGCGGAGAAGAGCGTTATGTGAGGGCGCGACTTCATCTCGATGAGGTGAGTGGTGATTTGCCGGCGCGCGAGAACGTTCCACGCCTTCAGCACCTGATTCTCCAACGCCGGATCCAAGTGCAATTCGATCGCAAACCCTTCCGACATTGAAACACTCTTCGATTCCACTTCACCAAATTCCAAACCAGATTTCACCACAGATTGCAAATCCAAGAAGAAGATCAAGAACAAGAAGAAGAGAGAAAGGACTTCTTTAAAACGTGCGTTTTGGGAGAAGAACGTTCCGATTACGTTTGTGTTAGGTTTAAACGCGTGAAACTGTGCCACCATTTATATCATGGCTGAATCCAAAAAAAAAAAAGTGGTTACTACGTTGAAGTTGTATGGTGTGGTAGCGTACGAAACAAGGAAGAAAAAAGACTTAATTTTGTCAATAATAAAATGTTGATTGATTTCGTCTTTTTTTTCTAAATATTTCTTAAATTTTGTACTCATAATAAAAAAGCATATAAAATATTTATTTCAATAATTAAAATAAAAAATTGGATATAAATGATACATTGTCGTACATAGAAATTAATTAGCCCAGTCTGTATATCCTCTGCTAACAGCTAGCTTCCACAATCAAAATCGCTGCAACTTCAACCAGATTTGAGAACTACACTACCGTCATTATTGTATACCAAAAAGAAAAGAACCTCTAAAACAAAATCTATGTTTTGTGTATGTAAAAGTTTGAACTAAACAGAATTAAGATGAAAAGCAGAAGGTTTTCTGAGCACAGCAAGAAGCAACTCACTCCACATATCAACAGGGCCAGGCATGCACCAGTGAGTGCAATCATTGTAACCCTTCATCCATTTGTTCCCCCAATGCTCTCCAGGATGACCATCTGCTCTCATAAGCATGGCTCTTGAAACATCCACCACCTCAAACCTACCACCATTTTTCCTTCCTCTCTCAAACTCCTCCATCTGAACATTCCTCACTTCCCATTCAAACTTCCCAAAATCCACCTCTCCCTCACTCATCGGACCTGTCCTATTGCAGTACCCTCCGGTGTTCCAATACCCATTCTCAAAGTGCGCCGCTGCAAAAGTCCTCATCACCGTCACCATCCTCCTCCTTCTGCACTCCTTGCACTCACTCATATACCTAAACGCTGTTCTCATTGCTTTTCTCAAAGGGAAGTCAGTGTTGTACCTTGTCACGTTCGGTTCGTCGCAGTACACACACCCTATTTCTTTTCCACCTTCGTGCAGACGCATCCCTCTGAAAAAC